TGAAATATCTGCAGGACAACGACCAATCTCGGAGAGCACCAAGGACCCCACGGTTCCCCTCTTCCTCTCCGCACACCCCACTCCCTTCTAGCACCGATGATGTTCCCTAGCTGGGTTACGGCCTGGACAAATGGCTGTCCTTTTCTAGGGCAAGATTTCATGGTTGGCCATTGCCTCCTTCCTAGGGACGAGAGGGAGGGACTGGCCCAACCTGACCCATCTGACCCTGTGTCCAAGTGGCACTAGAACTCACGGCCCCACCCGGTTTCTAACCCGAGGCCTTAAGTGCGACACGCAAATGATTCTTTGTTCTAAAGTACCAATTTTTAATCTCCCTTCTGAGCCAAGAAGGATGCTGCAAAAATAGTAATAACAAAAAAAGAATTGAATGAGCAGAAAACAAGACGATCACCTATCAGCTGAAATTCAGAGCTTTATTATCATTTAAGTACAAACAGGAGCGTAACACATTTCTACACAGCAGAGAGCCTGCAGGACTCTGGAACCAGACCTGCTATCCAGCTTATTTGCTCTTTAGCTTAAAACAGTCGGAATGAAAATGGCCCCGATCCCTTTGAGGCCTCAAAGGATTCCTTTGAGGTAGGACTCGACTTTGGCGGATCTAAAGGAATCCCCCCTCCCCCCAAAAATGTGTTTTTGCAAGCCTTGAGACGAGCCAGAGATTTCTACACGAGGCCCGCAGAGGATGGAGAAGGCAATTTTTGAATTTCTGTTTTTCCAAAACCTTCTTTTCCCATCTTAGAGGAAAAGAAAATCAAAACAACCCAGGAAAAGAGGTTTGGGAGCATGTGAGGAGTGCAGCGAGGGTCCTCCTTGTCCCCTCCTTCCCAGACAGGGCTAGGATCTGCCAGCTAATGCTTCGCTCTGTCCTGTATACAGGCAGTCCTCGACTTAAAACATTTAGTGACCGTTCAGTTACAACGGCACTGGAAAAAAGTGACTGATGACCATTTTTCACACTTTCCACCACTGCAACATCCCGATCACGTGATCAAAATTCAGACACGTGGCGTGGCATTTGCACAGCCGTGGCCCTCCACTCGGGGTCTGAATTCAGCCCTCACTTGTACCTTCTATTCTGCGGAACTGAAGCACGTTTGAATTTCTCTACAATTTCATTTTTTTAAAAACACACGCACTACAATTAAAAAAAAACAGTTTGCAAGTGCCTACACAGTGTGCATTCGTGCATCTACAGGTATCGAGGGAGTGGACTGCATAGTAGAAAGTGCTCAAGTTATTCATGCCTACGTGTGGCCCTTGGCCCAAAAAGGAAAACGGAGTGCTGGTTTCCTGCAACCTGGTTTGTTTTTGTAAGTCTTTCAAAGTAAGGTTCTTGCCTGTCCTGAGCAAATTAAGGTAGGATAGGGAGATGATATATGGCTGCTTGGCTGTCTGTCAAAAAAGCGTATTTTTTTCTGTATGCTGGTGCATCTCAGAAACCTGTGCATAAGCCCTTGGTTAAGACATCTCAAAAGGAGATGCAAATCAATTTGTTTAAAAAAAGGTACATTAAAAAAAAACACTGCCCATCTTTTCCAATGAGGGTTGGAAGGATAAGATCAAGAATGGTTTTTTTTTAAAGGATTCTGTGACTGTTTTCTACTTCCTTGCACAGTTGTTTATAAACTTCTGTTATTTCCAAAGGTTTTTTTTTTAAATGATTCCTTTGCCCTTTTCTCTGAATGCCAACCCCCTTCCCCCCACCACCCGAGTGGGCTGCAATCCTGAACCAAGTGAATTGACTTCACAGCACAGCTTCAGCAATCAAGCGTGCAAGGGGGAAAACCCACAGATTTTGCCAGGCTGGGCGAAGGGGAGAACCGGACGCTCAGGGTTAGGAGTTTGGCCAGGGCTCTGCTTGGCCTACCTTCCGTCCCTGGAGGTTTTTAGAAGAGACTGGACAGTTTATCTGGGAGGCTATAAGGTCGGTCTCCTGCCTTGAGTCAGGGGGCTGGACTAGAAGACCTCCAGGGTCCCTTTCGTCCCTATGTTCGAATCAGATGGAAGACCGTGAAAGAGATCCAATCTAGAACTACGGAGAAATTCCCTGAGGGTGAGAAGAGTTAATCCAGTGGAATAACCTCCCTCCAGGCGTTGTGGCTGCTCCATCAAGAGATGGGACCGACATTTGACCGGGATGGCCGGGGGTCTCCTGCACGAGCAAGGGGGGGGGGGGCTGGGCTAGAAGACCTCCAAGGTCCCTTCCAACTCTGTGATTCTGTATATACAGCGCGAAATGCAGCGATTGCGAATGAGGGGAGGGGGCGACGGGCAGAGAATCAGGACGGCCCCCTGCCGGACCGCCGAGGGCTCCCCCACCGCCAGACCTCCTCCTCCTGCAGCGAAAGCAGGGGCGCGTGGCCCCCGGGAGGGAAAGAAGGGACCCGCCTCATCGCTTTGCATACGTTCTGCCAGTGTTTTTATTCAGGCCTCCGCGGGGGGTGGGGATTTTGCTCCCCACCGTGGGAGACCGCAGCTTCGTTCCCAGGGGGCCCGACCGGTTCAGGATGCTCCCGCCAGCCCGGCCTGCAAGGAAAGAGAAGAAGAGGGTGGGAGTTGAGCCCCCTTCGGAGGAAGAGATGGGAAGGGGAGAGGGGCCGCCCCCTCCACCCTTCAGGGTCTGCAGCCAGCAAGGGGCGGGGTCTGTGTGTAGCTGAAATCACAGGCAGTCCTCAGCTTACGACCTCAATGGGGACAGGATTATCATTTCAATTTTCTCTCTCTCTCTCTCTCTCTCTCTCTCTATATATATATATATACCCCTCCCCCCACACATATATAATTTATTAGTTAAATTTATTCGCCACCACTCTAGGCAATTATGGCCAGTAAGAAACATGGATTCCCAGCCAGAAGTGCCAGGTGTGATTTCTGGGGAGAAACGAGGTCACCCCAGTTTATGAAGCGGGGGGTGGGGGGAGGGGTGGGGAAACACGAGAGGGTCTTTACCGGTGACGGTCTGCGCCGGCAGGCTCTTGTTCAGGGAATGTGTGCGCCTCGGGTTCATGCGGCAGCCGTCCTGGCCCATCAGGTGCACCTTCCAGGCCTGC